TTCGGCTCAGGTCATGATCCCAGGGACCTGGGATCGAGTCCCGCATCGGGCTCCCTGCTCCTTGGGAGCCTGCTTCTCCCTCTGCCTCTCTCTCTCTCTCTGTCTCTCATGAATAAATAAATAAAATCTTTAAAAAAAAAAATGGCTCACCCCAAAAGAGAATTTTATGAATTCTGAGTTTCCAGATTGCTAGTGGTTCCGGAGTAAGTGCTTGGCAGAGCTAATAAGGCATACCTTAGAGCAAAGGGAGAGAGACTATAAATGCGTCCCAAGTCACCCTGTCCTCACGGATCCCTGGGGGGCCTCATCCGGCTGCTCGTGCCCAGAGCATGGGCAGATGCTAAGGGAACTGTGGACCAGGTCCATCTCCCCGAGTGAGGATTCTCACTCCGAGGGGAAGATGTTTGCAGTGATAGTATGTTGAAAACCCAGGGAGAAAGCCAAGAACGGATGCCTGCAGGCGCTCCAGGACCAACCTCCTCCCACTGCCTGCTGTGGTCGGGGCCTAGCACTGACCCTCCAGGCCCGACTCAGCCTGAGGGTGGCCCAGCTCCAGGCCTCCTGAGCTCTCCCCGGTTTCTGTGGGGCAGAAGTCTATGTGCCAAGGGTAGGGCTGAGGCCGTCCCCTTCAGGAGAGGGAAGGGCTTCCGCACAGCCAGCAGGAAGGGGCCCATGGGTCACATGCCGCCACAGACTTCCCGTAAAGCGCCCTCTGGGAGAGCCCCTCAGCCTCACCCCTGTAACCACCTAAGCCGCGTGAACCGGCGTCAGTGGTGTTACTCAGGATGTGCGGGCAAAGCTGGGGTTAAAAAGGACTTCAGGACTTGGAGAATTACCAGCTGCTGTGGCTCCGGAGGGCCCAGAAGACTCACAGATCCTTCTCCTTCACTCTCACATATTGCTACTGGCGGTGCAGATGGGTAGAAGAGGCTGGGAGGGCGATTCAGAAATGCATGTCAAAGTCCTTAAAAAACTGTTCAAGCCCCAAGGGTGGAAGCAACCCAAATGTCCATCAATGGACAAATGCATAAACAAAATGTGATATATACACATGAGGAAATATTATTCAGCCTGAAAACAGCATGGATAAACCTTGAGGACATGAAGCTAGGTGAAATAAGCCAGACACCAAAAACATAAGTAGTGCATGATTCCTCTTATATAGGGTGTCTAGAAAAACAATTCATAGACAAAAAGTAGAATGGTGGTTACCAGGGGCCAGGGAGAGGCAGGGAATAGGGAGTTAGTGTTTAATGGCTACAGAGTTTCAGATTCGGATGGCTGAGAAGGTTCTGGAAATCGATGGTGGTGATGGTTGGATAACAGAGTGAAAGTACTTAATGCCACTGAACCTTACACTTAAAAATGGTTAAAAAGTAAAATTTATGTTATATATATTTTACTGCAAAAAAAAATGTACATACACTCTGACCTACCAATTTGTCCACTGGAAATTTACACTGAGGAGACAGTTAGCTAAGTGCACAAGGATGTGGACAATGGATCTCAGTGGGGTTTCTAATGAAACAACCAAAGGTACCTGGCCAGTGGAGGTATCGATGAAATGAACTAAGATACATGCTTACGGTGGAATATGATACGGGCATTAAAATGATGCCTTCTATATTTATTGATATAATAGGTTCCTGATAGGTTTTTAAATGGTAGTCAAGGAATATATAGTAGGTTCTCATTTTTTGCCAAATATATATGTATATATGTGCGTGTGTGTGTGTGTTTATAAGAAAATTGGAAGGCTATACAATATTTTTTTTCCTTTTTCCTCCTTTGTACTTTCTATTTTTCCTGCAAAGTAATGTGGATTCCTTGGGTAAGAGCACAGACTCAGAATCGGACCACTTGGCGTGATGCCTCAGTCTCTTCATCTGTAAAATGGGGATAACAGTGGTACCTGCCCCATGGGAGGTGGTTCTGTGAGGATTCTGATGTTGGTGGAGCATTTAGAAGAATGCCTTACACACAGTAAGCACAGCATAAGTGCTAAGTGTTATTTTGATGCGGTAAACAATAATCTGTTCACCCATCTGTTTTTTTTTTCCATCCTCAGGTATATGTCTTAGTGACTGAAGTGGGCACCAGCGGCTTAGCATTATCTTTAAGTTCCCTACTTTGCTGGATGCTTTTTCGGCCTGGCCTCCTGTGGGGGCTGTAGGTCAGCACCTAATCACATAACTGCTGAAACCCCAGTGCCCGAGAATCTGCCTGAGCAGAGAAACGGCCTTCTCTGCTGGGACCCCAGTTTGGATCAGAGGCCGGTGGAGGGAAAAAAACATCTGAAAATTATTAGAGGAAAAGCAATTTTTCCGAGGTGTTTTTGTTTGTTTTTCTCTAAAATGTAACACACTTGATAATTTAATAAGCATATCAAATTATACAGAACACATGTTTTGGTTCCAAAAATAATAAATGGACTAAGTTTGTGAAGCACACTGAGAAAATAAATAGTGCATCTATTAGGATTTCCACCTAAATGTTCACTCCTTTTTCTTCAAAGATCTTTCCTATCCTGAATGGGGTTCAGACTGGAAAATTTCTGCCTGTCCCTGTTCGCAGACAGGAGGAAGCCGACATGGGCCCCTGGGAGGGTGGGGAGGGAGATCAAGGATGCCAAGCAGTGGGACGCTGGTCTCCCAGATGGGTCGAGGACTCAGCCCCTGCCCCCTCTTGCTCCACAGGAGCCTTCTTCATCCCCTACTTCATCTTCTTCTTCACCTGCGGCATCCCAGTGTTCTTCTTGGAGGTGGCGCTGGGCCAGTACACCAGCCAAGGCAGCGTGACAGCCTGGAGGAAGATCTGTCCCCTTCTCCAGGGTGAGTGTTCCCCTTTGTCCTCCTACCAGGGCCACCAAGCGCCTCCATCCCTCCATCGCTCCTCCCCTTTCCTTCCCTGCCACCACCTTCTTCTTCATTACTCTCATCCTGTGCGAAGTGCTGTGGGGGACACAGGAAGAGTTATCAGACTTTGGGGGGCCCAAAGCTTATAGATCCTGGGGAGGAAGTCACGTCTCAAGAAAGACAATACAAAATCACCAGTGCAAAATTAGATGCAGAGCTTGGAAGGAGTTTTTGCAAGTGAGGAATCCTGGAGCTTCATCTTCATCAGCTTCCTGGAATGCTGTTCCGGTGTACATGGCGCGGCCCCAGACGTGCGGCCGAGGTACATAACCATCGCGATGAGGACGATGGCTAACGTCCCCTGAGCCCGGCTATGTGTTAGGGCTCCGGCAAGCACTTGACATGCATTTCCTCATTGGATCCTCCAGATGAGAAAATGAGATCATTTACTGAGGATTTGAACCCAGGTCTCCCTGAGCTGAAAATTCATGCTTTTTCCCATGTTAGGAATTAGGTTAGGGATTAGGTTAGGGACAGCTCCTGTTCTCTCTATGGACTTGCTAGTACTAATGTGAGCAGCTTGGGGTGTCCTTCCCCACCCCATCTTTAGCTGATTGGGCCAGTCCCCTTGGCGGGACTCCCCAGCCCTTGTCTCTGAGAGGTTCCTTGCCTATGGGAAATGAGGAGAGGACTCTTTCCCTCACGTCAGTCTGGAGGCAGCCCCAGGGACTAGGCTATCTGGGGTTACAGCCTACTCAGCTGGGCTGTAGCTACCATGCTCAGGTGGGCATGGGGGGAAAACCTGGCTCCTGAGCAGGCTGGGAACCCGACCACCAATTGGGGGTTTGGTTGCGGGGACCAGGCTCATCTGGTACTCATTCCTCTTGGGGCACCCATGGGACCCCTGGAGGAGCAGCAGTGAGGGGCTGGGGAGGGGCGAAGCTTGACCCACATACGTTTCTACTCAGGAGTGCTGGGTCCTGCTGGGTGACTGTGGCCTCAGCCAGAGCAGTGTCTCCGTGTTCTGCTCTGGAGCCCAGCAGTCGCCTAATGTCCCACCCAGTTGCGCGCTATCCCTAGGACCAAGCGAGCTCCTGGGTGGCAAAAGGCGGGGCTGGCCTCTCTGGCAGGTATCTACTAACTCTCCAAGGCAGTCACCACAGATCGGGTGAGCAAACCAAGCATTGGATGGGGGTTGGGGGGAGGGATTACTGCTCCTTCCCTCTTGGGCAAGTTGAAGAGACAGAGACTCCAAGGCCTGGAGTCTCAGGGTGTGTGCACCGATGTTGGTGGGAGGGTCCAGGCTGCCTGCTACCTGCCCTCCACCGGCCTGATGGCACCCACCCCGCAGTTCACCCTCCCAGCACACGGAGGCCACACCCTGTGCTCACCCACCCTCCCTCCCTCCTCAGTTTACACACAGGCACAAGCTTCCTCCCCTGAGATCATCCCTACCCTCAGAGATGGGGCACCCCCTCCTCCCAGCCTGGCTCCCTGCCTCCTCCCGGGTCCGGTCGGGTGTTTACAGGCGGTGGGAGCACAGCGCGTTCCGGCGGCGAGTGGCCGCACAGTGGCCGCTTGTTTGGGTGTGTGGGTGTCTGCGTGCGCGCTCCGAACAGCCCGGCCGCCCGGCTCCCCGGGGACCCTCCGCGCCATCAGCAGCCCTGGCCGCCGCTCCTCCCGAGGCCCCAGCCCACGGTCGCTTTAGGGCGCCCCTGCCCCCGACGCCTGCATGATTTGCGGAGACCCAAACGCAGGAAAACACGGGGGCGGGGGGCGGGGGGTGCTCCGGTCGAGTTGGCCAGGCCCGCTGGAACAGACAATCAGGGTGGGCTCGCCCGGCCAAGGGCTGGTTTTGTGGACAGTCGGCATTGATTTTCCGACCTGCCTCAGGGCTGTGCTTCCTTAAGTCATCCTGGAGCCCCGGCTTCCCGGGCCGCGGGCACCTCCCCAGGACGCGGAGCGACTGGGACCTGGGACAGGGCGCGGCGCCCACTCCTCCGCCTGCTTTCACACCTCGGGACTAACGGCCGCCCTGGCAACGTGCTACTTTTAAAATGACTGTGGAAAAGATCCCACGTTTGCAGGAGCAGGCGGGCCGGGGAGGGGGGAGGCGAGGGGTGGGGGGACTGCGCCTGCCCTTGCTCCCTCCCAGCCCCACGGCCAGCCTCCAGACTGCTCCCCTGCGTCCGACCTGGGCGCACAGGTCCCGCCTCGGCTGACACTCTTGCCCCTCACTGGGCGGTGAGCTGGCATTTTGAGACCCACTCAGGCTCCAGGGTTCTCGACAACCAGCGACCTCTTCTTTTTTTTTCTTTGCTGGTTTCTTTTGGGTTTTGCTCTTATCCTGAGACTGATTCTTACCAAGACTTCCCTACTTACTCCTTTGTTCTTCTTGCCCTTTTTCATTTTACAAGTAATGTGTGATTGTCGTAGAAAAACTGGAGAATGCAGATGGACAAAAGGGAAAAAAAAAACCTTTAAAAAGTGAACCGAAATCCTATCACCTAGAGAACCACAGGTAGCTTTTGGATGACAATCCTTCCAGAGTTTATCTCCTTAAAAAAAAAAAAAAAAAAATGTCAAGTAAATTATGCATAATGAGAAAAAAATAAAAAAATAAAAAAAAGAAGATATACATTCAAATATATATATTGCAAAACTGGAAGAATGCAAACTGTGGTGTTCTGTAACCTGTGTTTCTTAGAAAAATGTGCTGTCTGTGGCTTCTCGGGCCAATAAAGAAATCCTGGTGGTTGTCTTCGGGTGGCACCCAATCCCCTTCTAGCCGCGGCAGGAGGCTTCCGTGTGGCTCTGCTGGGCTAACTTGATCTCTTGGGTTCTCCTTGTTGCTCCCGCATGCCTCCCCTCTTCCCGTAGGCATTGGTCTGGCTTCTGTGGTCATCGAGTCCTATCTGAACATCTACTACATCATCATCCTGGCCTGGGCCCTCTTCTACCTGTTCAGCTCCTTCACCTCTGAGCTGCCCTGGACGACCTGTAGCAATAGCTGGAACACAGGTATCCATGGTTTCGACCCCTGGGCTGGGGCCTCTCCCTGGGGAAAACCCTTGCCTCAGAGCCAGGCTGTGCGGGCCCTGGTGCCGTCCTGCTGGCTGACCCTTCTGTGGGAATCTGGACTAGCCACCAGGAGAACCGAAAACCCCACCCGACTGTGAATGTTTTGTGCCACTGCGAGGGGTTATCATCACTCACTCTGTGCCGGGTGCCAGACATAGACGGCTGAGCACAAGCCCCGTGGCCCAGCGCTCTGTGAGCGTGCGGTCTACTGGTAGAAAGGGACAAATTAATCAAATAATTACAAATTGCTATGGGTGAACAAAACTGCCAAAACGGTACCACAGTGGGAAGAAAATCGCTGGCTGAGGGCTGAAGATTGAGGAGGAACCCACCATGTGAACAGCAGGCCATCGAGGGGGAAGAGCAGGCACAAGGACGTAGTCCATTTGTGTGTTGAGTGGAGAGAGTGGGCCGGTTCCAGGGGCGGAGGGATCTGAGCTCTGTGTCAGAGGTTGGGTGGCGGGGTGGCCAGAGAAACTGCCAGATTCACTGGAACAAGAGCAGTAGGAGGAACATAGGGAGGGGTCTGGTCCCATGAACCACCTGGCTGGTCAACTCCTGGAAAATGGGGGCTCCACAGGAAGCTCTTGGGACTGGGAATGATGGGGACTGCGAATGATGGGGACTGCCAGGCTGTAAGGTCAGAGGGTCAGGGGGGACTAGGGTGAAAGGGCATCTCTCCCCATATGGTCCCTAGCTGATGCCCAGCCCCCCTTGTCCTCAACAGAGCACTGCATGGACTTTCTGAACCGCTCGGGAGCCCGCACAGCAACCCTCTCTGAGAACTTCACCTCACCTGTCATGGAATTCTGGGAGTAGGTGCTGGGCTTGGATGCCACGTGCCAGGGGCCCCAAGCAGGAAATTTGGATGTCTGAGGCCTGGGACTTGGAGTGCGAGTTTAAGCCTTTCTGTGCACGCTCTCCAGTGCTTACCCACCTCCCCCCACCTGGCACATCACTGGGACCTGGGGGAACACTCACAACTACCCATACTTGTCCACTGACACACTCCCAATGACCCCGAGTCCACCTGTGTCCAGCCAGACTCACACATTTACCCATGTCGACTTGCATCCTTGCACCCATCCGCACCCCCAGGCACCCACCTACATACACCTTCACACCTACCGACACGTGTGCTGTGTTCGCTGGTGCATGGCACATGGGCAAATGGTCCGCCCCAGCTCAGCAGAACAGATGGTGCACATCACTCCCCAGCTCCGTGTTCAGTGATGTTATGTTAGTAGCTTGAAATTGGCCAAAGTGAGCGTATTGGTACTGCAGAAATTGGCAAACCCTGTATTCACACCTCTGCCCTTCCACATGACTACGCCTTACATCTGCCCGTGTCCACACGTGTCCACCTTCGTTCTTACAAAGGTCTGCCTGTACCCTCATGCTTACCCAAAACCCACACGTATTTACCAACACCCACATGTGTCTACCCTACACCCTCATACTTGTATGCCCTCATGTCACCCCAAACCCACACATCCACCAACACTTATGCATACACATTTCCACCACTCCCTGCATTCTTTAGATACTAAAACATATTCAGCCCCCCTGTTTGATACCCATGTACTTGTGCATCAACCTGCCTATGTAAGTATCTACTCTCCATCTGCTCATCCATACATTACTTACCACCCTCACTCTCTCTTTCTCTATCTCTCTCTGCACAACAGAGAAAGCTGGATGGTTAGAAAGACAAAGATACCTATGGGATTACGTGATTTGGTCTTCTAACAGCAGGGGCATACAGACCACAGGTGGGAACATGGCGTGGCCATGGGGGGCTGCAGGGGGATGGGGAGGGGAAGCCTGGAACATGAGATCTGTGGGGTCAGCTCTAAGAATCAAGAGACTTGAAGACAAACGTCAAGTTGTCCCCTTTCGCCATTCACCTGTTTTTTTTTTTTTTTTTCCATCCTCAGGAGACGTGTTTTGGGCATCACGTCAGGCATCCATGATCTGGGAGCCCTGCGCTGGGAGCTGGCCCTGTGCCTCCTGCTGGCATGGGTCATCTGCTACTTCTGCATCTGGAAGGGGGTCAAGACCACAGGCAAGGTGAGGTGTTCTGGCTCCTGGTAAGCTCTCTGTGGCCCCCAGAAGCCATGGGGACACTCACAGTGTCCTCCTGGAGAACTGAAAGAAGGAGTAGTGTAAGGGAGAGGCAAGGTGAGAACAGGGGAAACAGTAGGAAGAGTTTAGCTCAGTACAAGGAAAGACTTTCTCTTTCAATATGACTGTAAAAGACCTGTTTACATAAGTAACATACAGATCAAAATAAGAAACACGGAAGTCCCCCTAATCACTGTACCAGCCAGCATGGTAGATTTGGATCTACTAATCCCCATTAATGTCTTGATATTGCCTTCTAGTTTCCTTTATAGGTGTGTTTGCGTGTATCTGTATCTATCATGTCTGTACATGACACAATTAGGATCATACACTTTTGCAACTCGCTTTTTGTAGTATGGTATGAACCAGCAAACAGAACTGTCTTTGAAGTGGTGAGTTTCCAATAATCAAAAGGGTTCAGGCCAAGAATGGACAACAGTGGCTTATTGTACATGTAGAGAGTTCAGATTTGAGCCATTATTTCCAACCCAGGGAATCTGAGGTTGATGACTCATGCTTTTTAAAGCCAGGAATAGACAGGATACTTACCGTTCTGATTAGCCTGTTCTGGGGGCAGCCTCCCCCTTCCCGGGATTGTTGTAATAATAATAAAACTAGTAACAGTGATAATAACACAGATATTGCTGTCACCTCCGGTAAGGAGCTGAGCTTGCTCAGGGAGCAGAGTGGACCCCTCAGAGTGTCTCCATATCCCAGAGGTCAGGCCACAGCTGCCCCTCCAGACTTAAGCCTGGAAAAGTAGTTTAAGTTTTGCCACAGGTCACTCTGCAGATCTGCTCCCCCTCTGTCACCAGGACCCGCCCTCACCAGGGGGCAAAGGGAGAACAGCCAGGATGAGGGATTCCAGGAGACCAGATTCTGGATTTTAAAATAGTCTTTGAAATATTATGGCTGGAAGCTCGTGCCCCTCCCCGTCCTTCCTCCCTCCTTGCCCTGCTGATGTGTATCTCATACTCTACCTGCCTCGAAGCCCGAGACCCGCTAAAATGTGTAAAGGAAGGTGTGGAGAGTTGCAGGTGCTCAGCCCCTCTCGGCGTCTCTAAGGAGGTGTCTGACGCTGAGCTGGGTGTCACTCTTGCTGCCTGAGGAGGGCTGACAGGAGGACGGCCATAGGCTCCCTGGCACCTCCTGGCGGCTGTGTCCCCAGCAGGGGTGACCTGAGCCTGTTTCCCTCCAGGTTGTTTATTTCACAGCCACGTTTCCCTACCTGATGCTGATCATCCTCTTGATCCGAGGCATCACCCTTCCTGGAGCCTATGAGGGCATCATCTATTACCTGAAGCCAGATTTGCTTCGCCTCAAGGACCCCCAGGTAGGAGCTGTGCTGGGGACCAGTTCCCCGCTGTCCCCCACCCAAAACCACAGCTGTACTTTTGGAAATCTCTGGTTGCTTTTCTCTTGGTATAAAGGCAATATATCTGGTGCCTGGGTGGCTCAGTCGTTAAGCGTCTGCCTTTGGCTCAGGTCACGATCCCAGGATCCTGGGATTGAGTCCTTCATTGGGCTCCCTGCTCTGTAGGGAGCCTGCTTCTCCCTCTTCCTCGGCTGCTCCCCCTGTTTGTGCTCTCTCTCTGTCAAATAAATAAAATCTTTAAAAAAAGAATAAAGGCAATGTATCCCCACTAGAAAACAATTAAAGATCTCTTGTAATCAGCTATGAGCATTTTAGTAGATTTCCTTCCAACTCTTTTTTTCTAGTTGGTGTGTGTGTGTGTCTGTGTTTTAACATAGTTGAGATAATTATATAGAGATGTATCTTTTTTCATTTAAATTATATTGTAAGCATTTTCCATGTTATTAAATTCATTTGTAAATGTCATTTTAAACACTTGCATATAATATCCATTCAGTCACTCATTCACCCAAAATGTACTGAGGACCAGTTAAGGGCCAGGTAGTGCTCTAAGGACAGAGTGGGCAGTGCGCACGATAGACCAGGCTCCGTGTCCTCTGAGCACTCACACGCGGGGCAGGTGTCATCAATCTGCTCTTATTCTTGGACATTCAGGTCAGGCACTTTTTTTTTATGATCATATATATAGCTGCAATCGACACCTTGTGTTTAAATCTTGGACCACATCTCTGATTATTTTCTGACAATAGTCAGACTTGGAATCACTAAGTCCAAGAATATGTGCGTTTAAGTGTCTTGAAATGTCCTGGCTTTAGAGAAATATAGATTTTCTCCACCAGTATTGGAACGTACCCTTTTTTTCTCCGGGGCCCATGAGAAATTCCATAATAATTCATTTTAACCTTTGATCTACAATAATCTGAGAGATCAAAATAGTATCATTTTATTGTTTTAATTTATTTATTTTTTACTACTGCGAGGTGGGACATTTCCACACAGATTTACTGTGCATTTTTATTTCCTCCTCTAGGACTTGTCTGAGCACATTCTTTGCCCCACCCCCCTTCCCCAAGGAGTCTTAGGTTTTTTTCTTTATATTCTAATGAAGTGGCTCTTGGACCCAGTCTTGGCTGCCTGAGGCCCTCAGTGCTTTGGAGTGAGCCTGGAGCTCTCAGTTCTGGGCACTGCCCCTCCACCCAAGAAATCCAAGTATGTGGGGTCTCCTGAGTGCCCCCAGAGCCACATTTAAATGGGCCTACCTGTGAAGTGACATGTGAGTGGAGGGTGGCGAGTGAGCGACTCCTGAGGGCACACCCAGGGGCCAGCAGGGTCTGAGGGGCCACGGCCAGTTGCCCCCCCCACCCCCTGCCACTTTCTTGGGGTCTCATGTAGGTGTGGATGGACGCGGGCACCCAGATCTTCTTCTCCTTCGCCATCTGCCAGGGGTGCCTGACCGCCCTGGGCAGCTACAACAAGTACCACAACAACTGCTACAGGTGATTGGTGGAATGGGGTGCCGGGGACCCTGGGGTGGCGGGGCTGGTCTTCCTGGAGTGTCGCCAGGGAATCAAAGCTTCAGTTCCCAGACTGAATTTCTTTCTTCCCTCTTTTTCTCCCTCCCCACCTTCCAATGATCCTTGATCTTGCTCCCTCCCCCATTCTCTCTTCCATCCCTCTCCTCCCGAATCTTTCGCTTCCCTTTTCCCTCCCCGCTCCCCAATGACTGACTTGGGATCTCTCGGCCCCTGAGGGATTTCTTCCTCTCTTTTCCCTTGGCTCCTCCGCCTCCCCGCCCCCACAGGGACTGCATCGCCCTCTGCTTCCTCAACAGTGCCACCAGCTTCGTGGCCGGGTTCGTGGTCTTCTCCATCCTGGGCTTCATGGCCCAGGAGCAGGGGTTGCCCATCTCCGAAGTGGCCGAGTCCGGTAGGTACCACTTTGCTGTCTGGGCCCTCAGGGGAGAACACAGATCCCTCCACCAGGGTCCCAGGAAGGAGTCCCAGGAGCTGGCTGATGGGAAACTTTTTAGCCTCTGTGGGCCCTGCTTGGCACAGAGGAGGGCCTCCTGAGCCATGGGTGGTGGGGAGGGAGCGGGGACTGAGGGTGGGTGGGCAGACCCGCAGCTGCAAGCACGAATGGATGCACAAACCAGCTCCCCAGAACCAGAAGAGCTGAGTGATGGATGAAACTACTTTCCCTTCTTGCACCACTCCTCCACACACACACTCACACTCTCTCACACACACACACTCATGCACACTCACACAGTGCCTTGGGAGAAGGCTCTTCCCTGAGGGCAGTGAGAGCAGGAGGGAACTCTCCTGACAGCGCCTTGTGCCTGGCAGGTCCTGGTCTGGCCTTCATCGCCTTCCCCAAGGCTGTGACAATGATGCCCTTATCCCAGCTGTGGTCCTGTCTTTTCTTCATCATGCTCATCTTCCTAGGGCTGGACAGCCAGGTTCGTCACCCCGCCCACCCCACCGCACCCCTCCCTGCCCTGGCGACCCTCTTGCCAGCTTCTGCGTTTCTGGCCATTACCTTCCCTCCATCTCCTTTCCCACTGCCCATACATTCCAGATCCCCCTCCGCTTTCCGGGGCTTGTCCTTGCAGTTGATTGGGTGACCCCTGGTCTCAAGACCAACCTATTCTGTGAGGGGACCACCTGCCTTTTCCCCCCAGGCCTGATCCTTCCCCATACAGGGACACCCCCCTCCCAGATGGCCCTCCAGCCTCCTTCCAGCCATTCAGCTCAAGCTGCCCAGCCCTGCCCCCCAGCCTTGGGGACAGAACATGTCTCCCCCTCCAGCCCCCACGCTGGAACCCTCTGTTGTAGAGATGCGGCCAGGGCAGGGCTGGCCACCCCACGTCTGCCCTTGACCCCTGTGCTCCTGTGCGTCAGCATGGGTGAGTGGGGTGAGAGGCGGCCAGGGCAAAGGGCAAGCTGCACCTCTCACCCCAGCTCCCCTCCTGCCCGCAGTTTGTCTGTGTGGAGTGCCTGGTGACAGCCTCCGTGGACATGTTCCCCAGTCAGCTCCGGAAGAGTGGGCGGCGAGAGCTCCTCATCCTGGCCATTGCAGTCGTGTGCTATCTGATCGGGCTCTTCCTGGTTACGGAGGTGAGCAGAGGTGTGTGCCCCCACCCAGGTGAGGGAGCCAGGGGGCACACCTTCCTCATCGGCTCCTTGGTGGTGTTGACACAGGCTCTGCCCTCATCACAGCGAGGTTGTAGGGACCACACAGTAGAACCTTACCTGTGTTCAGTTAGCTCTTTTGGTGTCAGGTGACAGAAACCAAATGCTAGCCAGCTTGAGTGGAAAAGGAAGTTTTTTGGGGCCAGGAAACTGAAAAGTCTAGAGATAATTGGTTTCAGGTATGGTTGGATCCAGCTGCTCTCCTGACATGGTCAGGAATGCCATTCTCAGCCAGATTGCCCTCCTGATAGTAAAGAACGCTGGTACAGCTTCAGGCTGACCTGCCGCCACCCCTCCAACCCCCAAGGAAAGAGAGGGACCGTCTCCCAAGAACATGGTGAGTGTCCAGCACTGGCTCTGCTTCCAGCCTGGAGCAGGGAGAGGAGAACACTCAGAGTGAGGTGGTGCCAGCTTCTACGTTACGAGATAGGATGCTGGGCAGAAGAAACAGTGTATGTCCCACGGTTGCCAAGGTCTTTGAAGCTGTCAGAAGTTGTTGTCCTGAGGTCAGATGAGGGGCCTGGGGGCAGGGGTAGGCAAGGCCAACTCCCTTTAGTTGCAAGGAGTGACTTCCCACGGGCTGCGCAGGATGGGGGCCCAGCTGGGTGTTTGCACTCTCGCTGCGGAGCGTGTCCCCTGCGCACCCTGGCCAAGGCCCTGCCTAGCTCCACTGACTTCTCCGCAGGGCGGGATGTATATCTTCCAGCTGTTTGATTATTACGCTTCCAGTGGCATATGCCTGCTCTTCCTGGCCATGTTTGAAGTGCTCTGCATCAGCTGGGTGTACGGTAAGTGGAGGGAGGAGAGGGAGGAGGAGCCTCTGCCCCGTCCCCCCCAGAAGGCCGTGATCTGCCCAGGAGGAGAGATGGGCTGTGCCGGCCCTCTGGTTTCTATAGGTCTTTGTATTGCTGCCCTGGGACGTTCATCCATCGCTGAGAACCCGGGCATTTCTCATTATCGCACATAGAGCTGGGTTAAGGTAGTTTCTACAAAACTGATTTCCCGCAATAGTGAGAGGAATTAGAAACAACAGGGAACAGTTTTCTTGATACAGAAGCTGCTGGAAGCCCTTTGCCAGTGGGAATCCTAGCCAGAAGAGAGCTTTAGGGCCACTTTGTCTGAGCATCCCCACATCCCCACATTCCCTTTCTAGGTTATCACCCAGACTTTGCTTGAATACTTCCCTGAACAGGAAACTCATTCCCCTGTTTTTGAGGTAGTTTTTCTTGTGGCTGTTATGCATTCCTTTCTTCTGCGGAAGTGAAATTCTGCCTTCCTTTGACTTCCACCACCAGCCCCCCTCAGTGCTGGGGTGACTAGCCAGTCCTGATGACAGTAAGGGGGGATCCTTTATGCATTGAGTCAATGCACTGCTGAATGCCAAGCAATCTGCTGACTGTGGCATACATAATCTCGCAGCTCACACAGCAGCCCTTTGCAGGGGGAGGCGAGGCTCAGAGAGGTAGGTCTCTTGCCTGAGCTCACACAGCTAGTACGTGGAGGAGGCATCGTCATACCCAGGACCCTTGGGCTCCACCGCACCAAGTTGGGGGAACGCATTGTCAATGTAACAAGGCTCGGGGCAGAGAGGATAGGGGGTGCCATGTAGTGTGCATGAGTAGGAAAGCCGCGAGTAGGAAGGTTTTTATTTTGCTACCCTAAGCCTTCCTGTCTGGTGTCCTCCCTCTCCCTGGACATGTCTCCTCTCTTCTCACCTCAAGCATCTGATGTCTTTCTGATTTTCCTCTGCTGCTTCTCAGAACTTGCTCCCAAAGAGGATCTGATAAACTCCATCACAGTGAGTTCTAAAGAGCTGAGGAACTGTAATAGTTTACACCCTCCCAGCAGTATCTGGTTGTTAGCTGGGGGAGAAATTTGCAAGTCAAAGGAATGACTCCCTAATGGGGGCATTTCCTGCACACCGGTGATCAGTGGGAAGTTATTTCTTTGCTGAGGAAGGGCCAGAGAGGTCCTCCAAGGGTCTTTCCCGATCGGTAGCTCTCTCCTCCTTAGAGGACTGGGTGGGCCTGGATCTGGAGCAAACAAGGACAGTAAACAAAACCAGTCAGTGTTTCTACAAACACAGATCAAGCCTCTTGCCGTGCTTTCCTGACAACGCAGAGTGGTTCCTCCAGAGTCTAGACTGTTGTTCCCTTCCCAGTGGCTTTCTGGCCCTATGTGAGTTTAGCGTTTTAAGCTGGCACAGTGGGACCCTTGCTGTTTTGCTGTTTTGACTTGAAACCGAATTCATCTCTGCGGCATAGATAAATGAGCATTTGCTAGCCATTGTGCCATTTTAGGCCCACACCCTCCTCTGTGGTTAGGATTTAGGGTCTTCATCCCTAGACAAGGGGACGAAGGATTGCACCGAGAAGTTGGGTGACTCTCTCCAGGGCTCCCAGCTTTTTGGTGGCAGCCCCTTCTCCCTCCTCGCTCCCTGCATTGTGGCTGGGGTGCCAGGGACCCATCTCATTCACGTGCCTTGATCCAGTTTCCCCTCACAGGGTGGGGGGAAGAGGGCAAAGCCAGGTGAGTCCTCCCCAAATACCCACAAGCTCTCTCCTTCCTCCTGTTCTCGCACTTTTCTCCCACCGCACCTGGGCAGGGGCAGATCGTTTCTATGACAACGTTGAGGACATGATTGGCTACAGGCCATGGCCCTTGGTGAAGATCTCCTGGCTCTTTCTGACCCCTGGACTTTGCCTGGTATGTGCCCACCCAGCTACCCTCCTGCCTCCAGAAGACTCGGGGATGGGGAACAGGATGCCTGAGTTCTGGGGCTGCTTCCCTGCCTATCCAGTTACCTGGGGAGGCTGGTCCATTTCCCTTTCTAGGTTGGTTCTCCTGCCCTTCCTTTCGGGGGCTGTCTCCTTCCCCTGCCTCATTCCATTTCCTGCTCCATTCCTTTCTCTCAGCACCGCCATCTGCTGCCCGACTTCCCAGTTAGTGGTCTCTTTCTGTCTGCCTGCTGAGGGCTCCTCCACCTTCCCTCCTTTCTTCAGAGCTCCTCCTGTCTCAGTCCTTGGGGGGGGGGGGGGCATGCGTTGGCCCAGGGTTTGTAATGGCTTTTACTAGTCTACCTCAGTGATGCACCACAGTGCATTAACTTGTCCTCTGTCCCTGGATATTGAAGCAGGTGAAGAGAAGATTTCAAGGGCTCTCTGTCTCATCTGCATCCACCTCTCCCTCCTTCCAGGCCACCTTCTTCTTCTCCTTGAGCAAGTACACACCTCTCAAATACAACAACATCTACGTGTACCCTCCCTGGGGCTACTCCATCGGCTGGTTCTTGGCTCTCTCTTCCATGGTCTGCGTCCCACTCTTTATCATCATCACCCTTCTGAAGACCCAGGGTTCCTTCAAGAAGGTAGGGGCCAGAGCAAGTGATGCATGAAAGGGGGTTGCTGAGAGAGGTTGTAGGCAGGACACCATGGGTGGAGCCCAGCTCTGAGCGTGGGGCAACCCTTTGGTCTCATGGAATCTTTGAAGACCGGTCCAATGGCTTCATTTTCAGAAATCTTAAAAAGTCCTGGAGTCCTAGACCTTCAGAATCTGACCTCCAGCAGATCATGTGGGCAGGTTGACCAAGGGTAAACTGTCAGAGACTTAAGGAGGAAACTGAGTCACAACAAGAACTTAAAGGCACCCAGACACAGAGATTTAGAGAGCACAAATTCCTTGCTCCCAGGAAACTAATAACCAGCTATCATGGTTCATTTCATACACAGGCTCCTGGCTTCTTTTCTTATCTTAATTCTGGGGAGCCACATGCAGAGGCTCCCTGTTTAGAATTTAAGACACGCCTTCCTGGAAGGGGATAGAGCATGTCCCACAAAGACATTACACTTGTAAAAATCTAACAGGCCTATAAGTTACAGAAAAACCCAACCTGCAATAAGCAAATAGGCTTATTTTCTTTTTACATCGAGAAGGACCAGAGATGGATGCTTTTGGCATTTGGTTCAGCTGCTTAAAGAGGTCACTAGGGACCAAACTCTTCCTATATTTCTGCACCTCTGTCTGAGCATGTCTTCATCATCATGCTCACCACCTCATGGTCACAAGAAGGTTGTCGTGATTCCAGTCATCACATCTGCATTCAAGGCAAGAAGCAAGGGGAGGAGATGGTACCAATACCAGTAATAATAGTAGTACTACTACTCATATAATATAATATATATTTTTATTATATATATATTTTTATTATATATATATAATATATATTTTATTATATATATATAATATATATTTTATTATATATATATTATAATATATATATATATATATTATAAAGTAGGGACTTACTGATCACATTATAATAGTAATAGTAAGAAGAACCAAAATAAGCACTTATTGATCAACTTACCTTTGCCAGGCACTGTTCTCTGAGCTGTGTACTATTATTATCTTCGTTGTACAGATAGGGCACAGAGGGGTTAAATGGGTTGCCTACAATTGCACAGGTAGTTAGTAAGAGAGCAAGGACGGGAACCTGGCCAGTTCCTGGTCCTAGTCACCATGGTATTGTCTCTTCTCTCTTCTCAAAATATTTATTCCCGTATTCACTCGGATTCTACCGACCACCCCCATGTGTCTGGCCCTGACCTGGGCCCTGGGGTTACAAACAGGATGGAACATCTGTGCCTTTCTCACCAGTGGCACCCATTTGTTCCCTCTTGTCTCCACAGCGCCTGCGACAGCTCACCACCCCTGACCCCAGCCTGCCACAGCCCAAGAAACACCTGGATGGTGGTACCAGCCAGGACGGCGGGCCTTCTGCAGCAAGGGAGGGGCTAATAGTTGGGGAGAAGGAGACCCACTTGTAGGATGTGGGCAGCAGCCGGGTGGCTATGGGGCCAGGAACCTCTGTCAGGGCCACCACAGTGGACAGCCTTCGCCTCTGTCCCTCACCGCTGTCTGGCTGGGAACCTCTGTGATGTCCGTGGGCGCCCCCAGCCAGAGGCCAGGCCGCTCTCTCTCCTCAGCTGGGGCAGCTCCTTCTGGAGGGCGAGAGGTGGTCCCGCTGCAACACGCCATCCTGTTGGAACATACCTTCTTATTTATAAAGGAGGGTGGTCTTTTTTGAGTCCACCATCTGATTCTAACACATTACGCTGTGTGGGAGCTCCCACTGTAGGGGTGTTCCAGCTTCCTGTATTTGCGCGTTGGGAGGGTAGCGCTGACGGGAATACGTATCACACTTTGACTTGGAGAGCCTGATGGAACGCAACGTGTTGGAAGTGACAACTGAACACGCCATATTGGATTCTGACATTCCATTAGAGGGGGTCCTTCCCTAGGCTTGGTGTTCTGGAGTCCATGGGGAAGGAATTAGAGAAACAAAAAGCCTTCACAAGCCATCATGGTCTTGAGTTTTCCTGGAGGCCTCTCAAGGTGTCCCTGGTTCCACACTCTTCCTGCAATATGTGTCTTCAACTCACAGAGCATTAGAATGGAAGGAACTTAGAGATGATCCCTAGACTGTTCTGTGCTTTCCTGTGCCTGAGGCAGACATTGCTAATTGATTACAGAGTCTTTCCCACCTCACAGTCCTTCCAAATACAGTGCTCCAGGAAGCTCCATTTGCCACCCTGCTTTTGTCCAGCCTCCTGACTTCATGGGTGAGGAAACTGAGGACCAAAGAGAAAGTGACTTTTTCACGTTCACATAGCTATGCCTAAAACCTGGTTTCCTTTTTTCAGGCCAGGGTTCTTCCCATGAAATCCTCCTGCCTTAGTTAACAAGCATGTATGGATCGCCTGCTACCCTGTGCTAGTCTTCTCTGCCTCGCCCTGTTCCTGTTTAGTCTGCTGTCTTGGGGTGGGAGGGAGAGGGTCTCCTCTGTAGAGTGCTGAGCAGCTTTCCCCACATTGGCATCCCTACCTTGGCATTTCCTCTGCCAGCCCATACTCCTCTGACCAGATTTCCTCTCTGGACCCTTTCGTTCTTGCCATTTTCCATCTCCTCTGCCTCCGGAGATTCCTCGGAGTGTGTGAAAGCCCGCTGGTCTCCCGCAGAGAGGGGGGTATTGCGTGTGGGATGCTCTCCTCTCCCCAGGTCGCCGTAAAATGATGCCAGGTCCTCCCAAAGGCAAAAGAGGAGAAGGAGTAGGGGTGGGGGAGGGCCACTTCGGGATGGTGGCCTGGGGCAGGACGTGGGAGCTGGAAGAAGGGAAGCTGCCTGTATACACCTATATATCTATAGATAGCCATCTGCGGTGATGCATGGATAGATGTCACCCAGAGTCACTGCCCAGTAGCCAGAGTAAAAATCTATGGTCCAGCCAGGGTGAGTTCCACCCTCAGAGCACCCAGCATCCTTCCCCGTGATCTGTCAGGGCTTCTCTGCTGGGCACAACCAGACATCCAGACCCCTGGGTTCTGCCTCCCTCAGACTGCTCTGCACATCTGTGCTCGCTTTGGTAGGACTAGCTAGTGGGTGGAGAAGGAGGTCCAGAGAAAGGGATAGAGAGAAACTGCTTCAGCCAGATTGACCCTGGGGGACCTGTGGTGCAGGTGTGCTGCTTTCTGCTGCCACCTGGTGGCAGATGGGAGCAGAGCCGCCTTCCCTGGCCCTGCCTCAGCCTCTGGGGCTCTCACCCTTGCCCTCGCTGACTGGCTGGCTGAGCATTTCTTTCCTGTGTAAGCTCACGCCCTCTGGAAACGAAATACTTCCTATATCCACCCGTGGCCTCAGCAGGGCTCCCCAGTACGGCTGGCTTGTTTTGGGGGAGCCCAGCTGCAAGGGCATGGGGACTAAGGTCAGCCAGGCTCCTCAGCTCCCTGCCTCCTCCCCAGAGTGCGCTGTGCTTTTGAGCCTGGGCCCTTTCAGCCTGGACTGTGACGTTGTCTGTTGTAGGCGGTTGCCCTGTTCTGCACACTGAGGGGACACCAGCTCTCCCCAGCTCACTGGGCCCTGAGCCTCAGTCTTGATCTCTGTAGTTGCAGACACCATTGCCCTCCCCACATAAACTCACCAGGACTCTCAGCTGCTCCAGATCCCTTGGCTTTATGCTCACAGCCTGTTCAGCAGTGGGGAGGTGGGGCAGGGGGTGCTAAGGGGGCGGGTAGGGGCTGGGGGGCCTCTTCTGGAGGCAGTGTGTCTACAACCCTTCCTCTCTGACTGCCTTTTCCATCCTGGCACCCAGTATAGAGCCTCTGTGGTCCATGAGGGGACCAGAGAGGGAGCTGGGTGGGGCGGGTTGGGGCCGGAGGGAACATCGAGTTCCCTGAAAGGGACTTCAGGGAAACCACTCATTGGGCCCACATAATGGGCAATGAGCAACAATTTGACTCTTTAAAGGCCCAGAGCACTACTTCAGGTGTGTGTGTGTGTGTGTGCACGCGTGCACGTGCATGCACATGTATGCGTAAAGAGCATAGCTATGTCTATATGGGTTATAGGGTTATAACTTGGGGTCTGTTTTCATCTCATCGAAGCTGTTTAAGTTTTAAACTGGTGGCCTGATCTGGCAACCACGATTCATTTGGCCACTATGATATTTAAAGAACAACTTTTTTCAAGGTGGATGCCTCCAGTCACTCTCCAGTTTGCCACAGACCCCCCCGGTCCCTATTACGCAGACCTGACCTTTTCACACATTCATGCCTGAATGCATTTGCTTCATAACTGGTGCCCAAGCGGAAGAACGGAGAACTCTGTCCAAGGGAGGGCACCGGAACCCTTGCTGGAGCAGGACGGGGACCCAAACGCAAATGGTCTCAGGAGTCCCGGCGCCTCGGTGGTTCCTGGCTTGTTCATGAACCCTCTGAGGCAATTTGTTAATCCCGGGTCAGCTCCCCCTCCCACGGGCTCTTCCTTTGCCCAAAGAAGGGTGGTGGCTAAGTTTAATTGCAAAGCTAGATGTAAAGTGTCAGAGCGCAGCAACCCCCGTGGCGGAGTGGACTCCAAAGCCAGAAAGAACGTGGCTCCGTTTTCTGAAGTTTGGGATCTCTTCTGCCTCCCAACCCCGCCAGTGCATCCAGATGTGTTTAGAAATCATCCTCCCCCTTCCTTTATCTTAGGCAAAAGCATTTTTATCTGACTGGCACTCCTCCACGTTGTAAGGCTAAGACTGCTCTTGCTTTTCCCTCCCCACTCTCAGGCTGGGCTTCTGGGGAGCCCACCCTCCAAAGCTGGGGTTTGCTGTCCCCAGCTGTTCACTTTAGCTTCCCTGTATGTCCCCCTTGCTTGGCTGGGCCTTGGTGCCAGCCTGGGCTTGGCCTCTCCCCCTTCCCATCTTCCCTGAGAGTCCAGGATGCTGCCCTGTGCAAGAGCCGAGGAGTGGGCTCAGGCATGCTCAGCCCCCTCCACCCCATCCTCCTGAGCTGGGAGAGCTCTGGGAGCTGAGGAGGGCCTCGAACTCTGCTGACACTGGAGCCTCTGACTTCCAATCTGCAGGCTGTGGTCGTGTGTGTTAGGCCAGAAGGTGTCTGACCAGGGGAAACTGCTCCCCTATCTAGCCTGGCTTCCGCCTTTTACAGCTTCTCCACCCGACTCCATGCAGAGCCCCAGTAGAAGGTAGCTGGCTCTGGTTTGCAGCCTCCAGGAATTGTCTGGGCTCTACATCCAGCTCGCCTCCCAGACCCACCCTTCAGGTGCAGGCCACCGGTTGGGTCTCTTGTCTTTGCTGTCACTGTTGACAGGAAGCAGAGCTGTACCCTTCTGTTCCATCCCGGTGCTGCCCAGGGCCTTAGCTCAGAACTCCCCTCCCTCAACTCAGTCAGAGAGAGAGAGAAAGAATGTAAGCTCCCTAGTCTATCGGCCTTGTGAGCTTTTAGCTGTGGAGGGGAGGGGACAGGGTTATGGGAATAGGGTTTGAGTCAGGAGAAGGAAGCAGAATCAGATGGTGGGATTGGGTGGGGGGATGGAAGGGGGAAGAGGGGGTGGGGGGCAGAGGAACATAGACTACAAGCCCTGGAGGAGAGCTGTGTGAGGTTTTGGAGGAAGGAGCCAAGACTGGGGTTTGTGGGGAGATATAATCACAAGGTAAAAAAAAATAATAATCACAAGGCTTGAGCTCAGCTCACTGGGAAAGCCAGCACCTTGTCTTAAAATAGCCAAGGGCACAGAAGAGCTCTCTGGATAAACTTTTCAGTCCACCTCTGATCTCCTTCTCCCCTAAGGGCCCTGGTAGCCAGCATCCAAAATGGCCGTCAGTGATCCCCACCTCCTGACACCCACGTCCTTGATCCACAGTGTATGTGATGGAATGGCGGCAAGTGACTTCTGCCTTGACCTCTTGGATCATTCACTCTGGGGGAAGCCAGTCGCCATGCCATGTGGACACTCCAGCACCCCAATAGAGAGGCCCATGTGGACAGAGCTAAGGCCTCCAGCCGAGGGCCCTCGCTGACATGTCAGCCACATGAATGAGCCACCGTGGAAGTGGATCCTTCAGATGACCGCAGGCCTGACTGACATTGACTGTAACCTCATGAGGGGCCCTGAGCCAGGAAGGTCCAGCCAGGGGGGCCCTGAATTTGGAGTAGTTTGTTACACACCAGCAGGTAACCAATATGGGCCTTTGGCTTCCCAGATACCAGAATCCCCCTTTGAGGGTCAGGTGTGGCCCCTCATCAGAGGCGACCCTCAGCACTCAGCAGAAGAGGAGGCCTCGCTGGTATTCCTCCTGTCTGAGCCTTTTGCCTTTCTCCCACATCCTCACGACCTCTGGCCCTCCAAAGCCCTCCCGGGACCCTGGGCCTGCCTGCCACCCTGGTCCTCATGTGCCCACTTCCCGATGGCTCACTGCGCGTGGCTTCCCTTCAGGTTTAGTTGCTCAGGAAAGTGACATGGGCTGATCGGGTCCAACAGGGAGGAAAAGCTTGTTAACCACCTGTCGGTACAGAGAGGCCAGGAGGACAGCAGAGGGCTGCCGAGGGCCAGGCCCTGCGGTCACTTGGGGCTGAGATGGGTTGGGGCCCTAGGCCCTGGCGTCCTGCATTCCAACGCTCTCCGTTTCTAGTGTGACCACCAGCCTGGGCAGGTTGCTTGCTCATGTGGTCTGAGGAGGTGAGCGCAGGTGGTGCCACAGACAGTGAGGAGAGCTCACTCTCTGCCAAGGCCAAGGCTGAGCCCTCCACGGCCTGGTCGCTCTGCAGGGTGAGCGC